CATTATATATTATTATTGATAAAACTTCTCATAGTGATGACTTTTGTACGGTATTTAGAACATCATACTTTATTGGTTGACATACCGGAATAGAAACTAAACAATCTGGTAGAAGATGAATAAAAATGGGTGAGGATGACTAAAATGATAAAGGAGACACAAACAATTACAAGGAGGAGAAATGGAAATGTTTATATTATTAATACAAAGGAATTTATGTAGTACTTTGACAACGTGGAAGTCATTAACAGTTAAAAGGAATGGGATATTAACAGGTCTGGGGAACTTTGAGGGAAAGATATCGTATAGGGGAACGTTAAGATTTGGACATGATAAAAACATGTGTTCCAGGAATCCCTCTGTTAAACCGCACTGACACAGAGAGTGGTCCATTAAGCGCAGTTTAGCTAGAAACACTGGGGAGCAAACATTTCCTAGACGCGGGCGAATTATTACAGAAGTAATTAATTTACTAAAAGACTTGTATTTGGAAAACGAAGGCCTTGATGTGATATTAGGCTGGATACTGGCATAGAATCTCCCTTTCACAGTTTTGGTTTGTTGCCACAAATTATCCCAAGTTTCCATTAAGTGAAGTTTGGCCATAGAGAAACCTTTCTTCTAGTCGAAAACGAAACCTTTGGCCACAGATCGCGAGCTGGGACGCTAGAGTGACATGGCAATAGCTTGTTTGGCATAATAATCGGCTGTTTCATTACCTAGAATACCCATGTGGCCTGGAATCCAGGTCCTAGGACAGTTTCAATACCCTCTCTTTGTAACTTAAATAATGTTTCTTTAATATTAAGAATAATTGAGGAGTAGCGTTTACAGTGGAAGGGAAGTTTCTTTAAATCCTCCAGATAACTACGGGTGTCACTGAGGATCAGTCTTACGAAAATAGGATTGGTTAGAATCTATATACTTGACTGCTTCTAAAATGGCTACTAATTCACCTGTAAAAATTGAACATTCTGAAGGACATTTAAAACTCAAAACTACACTGTACTTTGGTATATTAACGGACGCACCAATAAAGGACGCGTCTGTTTTTGATGCATCTGTGAATATCAGAACCCTGTTCGCCCATTCATTCCTCACAAGCAACTAAAATTTCCGTTTAGCATCTAAGGTATTCTTGTCGATGCCAAGCTTGCTAATTACAATTTGAATGGCGCCTTTGACGTCCAATAGAATATTTGCCATTGCTATTTTTTTAATCCGCCAATAGAATAAATTCAAAATATGATTTTGAATTTAAGCTATGTATAGGTACGATAAGTTAAATTGAAGAGTGTAGGTAATTGAAAGCTTAACTGTAGGGAGAAAATAACAAAACGGGAAATATAATTTTTAAAAGTTATGCGTTAGGAATAAAGTGGTCATGGTCTACGAGTGATGCAAAAAAAGTCGCCCTAAATGTAACCACAACCTTTAATATAACTGAATTCGTTCAACACTTTAACAGTTTCCATTACTGAAATATTCAAATTTTGAAAAAGCCGAACTAGTCTAGGCCAAATTTTTATTTTTTTATTTATTCATTTATTAAGGCTAACCAACTATATACATACAGAACATTGAAATCTTAATACTTTCAACTTAATAGTAAAGTTGTAAACAATATATGTACATGTATATGCTGCTGAATTGGATTATAGGTATATTCCTACAAAAACAACCCAAATCATGATATAAAAGTAAAAAAACTAAAGTACCAGCCTATATTTGTGACCTACTGCTGGGCAAAGACATCCTCATCACAGAGGGTATTAAGGCATAGCGACCCCACGGCGGACTTCACGTACCTATCTTCGAAGTATATTTTTTAATATAATTTCGAAAATACCACCCACCATGGGTGATTAATGATGATGACCACCCACCGCTGAGCACGTGATAATTCAGCACTTAAAATTAACAATTTCATTAGTGGCGGCACCGGGGAAAGACCAAACATTGTTTTTTTTACATATTATGTTCTGTATGCTATCAGCATATCATAGATTCAATAATTGCAATGGAGCTCATTAAAATTTGTAGAAAAACATGAAAAGATATTCGCCGCCGCTGGAATCAAACTCTCACCTTTCGGATTCGCGGCCAGACGCTTCAACCACTAAACTAAACGGCTAATTGGTACACCGTAAAAATTTCCTTTACCTACATTATTTTTTCGCATTTTAAGCAGTGTTTGCCGCATCTATTGTTATATCATTTACAGTATACAAACATTTTCAAATATTCTTTTTATAACGGTATTTCGAATGAGAGATGTCGCCATTTATATGATTTTTTTGTAAACGCTAATCTCTGCACTTAAGATGAACCATACGATTTCCGCAACCGATTCCTTTCGTCCTTTTTTTACAAATTTTAATGTTTCATTAAAATTCATTAAAATTTGTAAAAAAGGCTCTCTCTTTATTGAGCTCTAACTCGAGAGGTGCCCAGAATTAAACTGATCAAAATCAGAAAATATTTTTGAATAAATCATCAGGAAAGTATTTAATGAAACCTTAATTGAAAAGATGTATTTTCTTCTTCAATAATACTTGGAGCACCCAAACGTATAGCGTAGCATTTTGACAACATTTACAAGATCCATGACCGCTGGCTATTTTCTACTTATGTTATTCTATTATAATTATGTACAAAAGATACATTTGACCGTAAAGTATCGTGCTGGGTCTTTTCTAAGTCTGATAAATAACCCGGAGATTTTGTGTTTTTATATGCACTAAAAAATCCTTAATTGAATGGGTAAAAAGTATTTGACTAAGACTACTAAAGAATTTATTAACGAGTTTAAATTTCGATATTAATTTATGAACCTTATGGCTTAACGTCAGTCAAAAATGTTAGCACCATTGAATTGCTGTAACCTATTAAATTAGGCAATATGTACATCGTAATACACTTTGTAGTGACCTGATGTCTCTGAAGGCAAGTCATAGTTACGAAGTCATGAAACTGTCATCGAGTCGATATATTCTTGAAACAAATAAATGTACCAAGATATATATACCAATATACTTATAAATTGTAGAAAATAGAAATAAGACACAAATATAATTAATATCTATAAACTAATAAATGCGTAAGAAAGCGACAAAATGATAGATGATATTTCATGTCAATTTTCTTTTATACCGATATGTTCTTAATGATATTCTATCAATACAAACTACCAAACAATCTGTAAAGCATATATTGTTAGTCCAAAATAATACCAGCGTTTTAAGGATATTAGGTAAGCAAGCTTGTGTTGGCTGACCGTACACTTGTCATATAAAATGCTTTTAAAGACTGATATGTTAATGTAATTTGATATATTGCGATAGAGGGATAGAAAAAATATATAATCCAGTTATAAATCGATTATAACATTTGAAATAGTTAAAAGTATAAATTCTGTTTAATAATAGATATATAGTTACACAACACACAAACGACAAAACGGCAAAATATATTGTCTGTTGTATGGGAGGCTAACTTAAATATTTCTTTATTCTGTTTTTAGTACTTGTTGTTGTAACGGCAAATACATCATCTGTGAAAATTTCAACTGTCTAACTATTACGGTTCATGAGATGCCTGGTGACAGACGGACAGATAGACAGACAGAGCAGAGTCTTAGTAATAGGGTTGCCTTTGGGAACCCTAAAATGATGTTCTCTAATGTGTAGTTCTTAATGACATTAACTTAAAATTATAACTTAGAAAAAATTGTTTATTTTGTTCTAGTTTCACAAATTTTATCAATATGACACTAACAATAGAAAAAAGGTATTTAATACATTGAAAGTTTTATTATAACGCATTATCTAGTTAAATAAAGTTTATTTAAATTTCACAAAATAAATATCGTGAATACAGTTGTCAGTTCTCACGCAAACATACGTAGATGTCTAGCTAGCTTCAGGGTGTCAGTTTTTCGTGACGGTGTGCGCGCGCATCGTAAAAATTTACTCTCATGATTTTTCCCTAACGTGCCAAAAGAAGTATAGCTTCAAATATATAATAAATTAGTATTCCATAGCAGATTTCTAAATATTACTTAGAATGCTTTACAGTGGATCTTTAATATTGCCTAAATAACAATGTGACATATGAACATGAAGGGCCTTTACTTTCATGTTCTGCATGGGACGAATAAGCCAAATTATACAAAACTATATTTTCCTAAGGTAATTTCGATAGCTTACATATGTAATGAACCTATAGATTTGTAACATGCACTTCACTTCAGAATGAAAATTGCGAACAGCCCAGGAAATAGGTCCCTATGCCTATTAATTATGATAGCCCCATAAGCCAATCAGAAGCAACAAGGACAATAAATAAACAAAAACTTATAAATCTGGGAATTTCAGAAGCTTTTAATATTAAAACTTAGATCGAAAGAGTGTGTTAGTGGAAACAGTGTGTTAACACAACCGACGATAAATGTACGTAGATACAGTACGATAATATATATTTCAAGATGTTTAATATATGTAATTCCTAAGGTGTGAAATAGTTGCTAAGTAAATGAAGTGGAAATATGAAAAACAGTAGTTACAACCCAATTTGTTTTGCAGTATTTTATGTACGCTTTGTACTCATATTTTGCCTCGTTGCTACGTGGTCGTGTAGCATAGGACAAGTTACTGCCACGTACTCAAATGTTTTATTACATTCGAAGGAAACACATAAATTTCGTTGAGTTCATACAGGCTAATATTTTAAAGTGTGTGTCAATGTCATTAATGGTTAAAGTTAGGTATAAATACTGTATAAGTAAACTTTCGGACACTTCGAAATAAATTGATTTCACAGTGACGTTCAGTGACGTTTTGTGTTTTTTATAAGAAAAAAAAAACAGTCTATGATCAAAATGGCGATGACCAATTGTTTAAAGTGTATTAAAAAAAAAACAATTTAAAATTTACATACGTCAGTGGGACTTGTGAGGTCACGTGCCACGAGCCGCATCTAGCGTGGATCATTGACTTTCAGACGACACGAGTCGGGGCGAACAAACTAGCTTGCGTGGACAGTTTGCTCATACCGCTCGGGTTGTCTTCCCGCCACGTGGAAGGGCTCCAGGGCTCTACCGCACGCCGCAAAGGTGCGCGCGCGGCCCCAGCCGCCTCGTTACTACCGCCAGGAAACTATGATGTTTGCACAAGTGTTTTCAGTAACAATTGCTAAGGACTTTTCTACTATTACCTTTGTAATGTCGCGGCGATAGTGCGCCGACAGAAGTTGTGTGAAACGCCAAGAATGAGTATCAGATTCGATTGTTTTGAGATCAGGGAAATTGAGAAAAAGTTTACATTTTTATTAATTTGACAACAGTTAATATTTCATTTTACGTTCTTAAAACTCTGACAAATTGACATCCAGGGAAATCACTTACCATCCACTGTGGTACTTACCCGGTTCATGCATCACAAGCTATTGTGTAAGCTGTTTTAATTTTGGCACATTGTGGGTCGACAAATATACTACTATGTCCAAAGAACAATATGCGACGACAGGCATCCTCAAGTGCCGTCAAAACTCCAATGGGGTAGTTGACTCAGCGACAAGAAGATGCGTAAGTAATTTTTTGGAAGTCAAGAGTGTACCTGGAGTTTTGCGGCCAGACCGCGTGATCCCACGATACGGCCTATATAAGCGCGAGTTTGTGGGGCCATGGGAGGTGTAATATTGGAATTCTTAATCGTCTCTAATTACGTAATTCTCGTTGCCTCAAGAAAACTCAGCCACATCCACAGATTAACAAATGACTAAGACTATAAACCACCCTCCATCATTAAACCTACTAACCATCACGTATCAAAGTAGCCGACTCAACGGTACCTATGTTATTAAAAAAAACAACTACCTCACTAAATGCTGGTAACATTCGCGTTCGGCCTAAGTCGGAGAGCGCGGCAACACCGCCAGTGGCGACCCACATCGGCGGCGGGCGGCGACCACCTTTATCGATGTTGATAAACTTAACTGCCGCCAAAGCGGATAAGCTGCCGCCGTGAAATCGCCGCCGTTTCTGCCTCACCTGTAGATTGTTCTCCAGAACCATCGACACTAATATCACATAGCACGCATGATAATGTATTTACCAAGGTTTCGAATTTTAAATAAAGAAAAGTTTTCTATATATTTTAATTTTAATAAAGAAAAGTTCGTGTGCGTCACTAGTACTCTCGGAACTTGAAATATGCCCGCGAAAATTGGTTCGCGCCCTATCTCAGACGAAGCTTTCTATCTATAGTTTATGGTACGAAAAAACATCATTAGAACATTAGTAACATTGTTACTTCCTTACTTATTATATAATATTATAAACGAGAAAGTTTGTATGTATGGATGGATGTTTGTTATTCTTTTACGCAAATACTACTGAATGGATTTTAACGAAACTTTACAATAATATAGCTTATTCATCAGAATAAAACAAAGGCTATAATTTGTATACCTACATTTTTATGAATGTCTGTCTTTCGCGGGCAGCAGCTAGTTCAGAATAAAAATAACTTAAGTATAACGTATTAGCCTTAATATTTAATCTCAGTTATTAGTAATTAATAGCTAGATAGTTACGCTTAGCATTAATATCATAAAATAAAATAATGTAATTGTTACATTATTTTATTTGATATATTTTAATTGACAGTCTAATTGGTTGAATGCAGACGTTGTCAAACCAATGCCTACGAGTGTTTCATTGTAATATACAAATGATATTAAAAATTGCACTCTATGTAACTGTACCTACATAGGAGGCTTTGCCCGGCAGTGGGACAATGTACTTAACTCACACGTGTGTTATTTAGATGTATGTTGTATACTTTTGTTACTTTACATGTATGTTACTTTACATGTATATTACTTTACATGTATATTGCTTTACATGTATATTACTTTACATGTATATTACTTTACATGTATATTACTTTACATGTATGTTACTTCACTTTACTCAGTTCATATTGAAGGTTGCTGAATTACGATAAATAAGATATTATATTTTATGCACCTATTGTTCTTGGACGCATATTTCACTATTTACACATTTTTGCTTTCATTTGAACCGCTGTGCGAAGCGGTCGATCCATTCTTCAGCTAGTAGTCGCCAAGTGCGATGATCGAGCTGCATGCGGTGCGTCATCAGTTCCTCATTTGTGCTTTTCAAATATGTATGCGTTATCTAAGCGGAATGTTCGGTTTATCGTGGTGAATGACGAATTTGTTGTATTCCTTTTTTTTCATGTGAAAAGTTGGCAAGCGAGCTGACGGTTCGCCTGATGTCAAGAGTTAGATACCGCCCATGGACATTTGTAACACCCGTAGGGTTGCAGATGCGTTGTCCCCTGTTTAAAAAATGTCCCGGCTACCTCAGTCACTAGACGAAACGCAGATGTATACAGTATAGGTAACACTTGGCACTTCACGCCGGTCTTTTGTGCAGTCGTGTCACTTACCCGGACGGACCTGCTCATTCTTCGTGCAACAGCCGTAGCTGTTGCGTGGCTCTACCACCGTACAAGAAACGTAAAAAATTGTGTTCTACAATTCTGGGATGGGTAACAAAACACTCGAATTCCCAAAGTGGTTTGTATCATACTAAGGATAAAAAATATTTATTGCTATTGTAAACAACGTAACTTACCGTGCCTCCACGGTTCACGGTGTCTTAATAAAATTTAAATTAAAAACATATTGGTACCGTTAGCTTCATCGAATTTCATTACACCGGTTTGCTTCTGGTTTTTTTTAAACTTGCGACCGACACTCAATTAAAATGGGTCTTTTACTTGTCATTGGCATAAAGGTTAATAAAATGCCAGAAAAAGAAGAAATAAATGGGTCAATTTTATGAACTGTTTTTTTTTTAAATCGGCACTTGCGACGTTAGTGTTGTACCTACTTGCTCAAAAGAAGATATTGACTGGCCTGACAATTAATAACGAGTTACAAAAAAAAACTGTAGTAATAGTACCTTACATATTTAAAATTGATTTATGGAACTGTGGGTGTGATATATGTTGGTGAAGACTTACTTATACGAAATATTGTGCACACTATTTGTTTTTAATTAAACAATAAAAAAAATCTAAATTGTGAAAAAATACATAGTTTTTAGTAATTTGTGTTGCCTCTACGAACCCATATACGTGCAACTTCATTAAGATGATGTGGCATGCATGCCACAACTACTGGTACTACAGTAGCCAATTTCTCATACGATAGTTGTCTATGCTTTTTTTTTGACAGGGTGTGCCACTGTTGTCCTAAGGGGCCTTTACAGATCCGCCGGACTTGAGGCGACAGGGCGCTCGGGGCGCCTAGCCTGAACCTCGGCGTATTATTATTACGTGTTATGGTGAGCTTATTGAGGGCTCCCGAGGGAGCCTCGGTTCGGGCCGTCACGCTATTATTAATCTCACCGGTTTGGGAGGTCGCTAAGCTCTTAGGGCGCTTTGGCGAAGGTTCCATCGAGTAAAAAGGCTCAAGGGTCGCCGAGAGAGGACCTTGGCTTGGGCTGTCACTTGATACCCGTTTAGCATTCCGATTCGAGATTAAAAAAAGATATAAAACAATTTCCGATACAAAACAACGTCGTCCCGATGTCTATGTCCTTATGTATGCTTGGATCTTTAAAACTACGCAATGGGTCTTGATGCGGTTTTTTTACTAGATAGATTGATTCAAGAAGAAAGTTTATGTGTATAAGATAAACCCTATTTATTGCACCCGTGCGAAACAGGGGCGCCTCGCTAGTGCTGAATGAAAATGGAGTCAAAAAATTGAGAATGCTCTTTTAAAATATCGACGCATCTGTGAGAGTATCGAAAAAAAAATAGAAATATAAAGACATGGTTTACGTAAATCCGAAATTTCGTCAATCATTGCTTATGTACCATTTTTGGCTCGTGTATTGAGAAAATTTAATTGACGGTCATCTAATGAACGACAAATACTTATCATCTCATTCCTATTTTTGGGTTATGAACAGCGATAATGTTGGCAAAAAGTGGTTTGATCATTTCTATTACAATTGTTATTGTTCTTACGGATCGTAAGCAAACCACCTACGATCCCGTATACGATAGCTTGCGAACTTCCCACTTAAACTGATATCGGTCATAGAAAGTGTTAGTGGTCAAAATGAATAAATCTACATATAAAATTAAGTATTATAAATAATTTATTCAAGAAACTGTAAGTATAAGTCATAAATATTGTACAGTTCCTTTTTTGGCAAACTATAAAAATTCAAATTTAATAGTTCAAAAAAAGATACAGTAAAACTTTCTGCGATATTATTTTAGGAATAATGGATATCTAAAAAGGTCAACGATGTTGACCACTACCATGCGTTATCACTTTTCTGTTATACCTCGATACATAGACAGAACAAAACATACAAATTCTCGAACGGTAATACCGGATATTAAAACTGAACTAAGAAAATTGTTCATTTCTCTCTGACACGTTATTGCCCCCGTATGTTATTGTGATAAGTATCATTCTTTCTCCTTCTAACACGCCGCGAGCTGTCATGTTGGCTTGGCGTCTGTAGGTATGTTTTATAGTATACGCACTGGGTTACCATGATTCATTTTTAAAGTACCCAGTTTATGTAGTATCGTAATTATTATTTGCCTTTTACTCATTATTGCCATTTAGCAAGTTGCCCTTACAACTTGCTAAATGGCTTTTCTATTTTTCAGTGTGTCTAGTTAAAATACTGTTAACTCATTACTTTAACAAATTTTAAGGGTTAAACTGCCACCCAGTTACATAAATATTGAAATATATTAATATATTTAAATCGTATTATTGTTATTTAGATATAACTACCAATCTTATTTAAATTCTAGAAAATTAAACATAATATTTACCAAAAAAGAAATTTCTTAATAATTTCTTATATTTACGCGATATACCCACTACAATTACCTGTTACACTTAAATTAGCGTGTTGTGCATAGATGGACCTAAAATAATTAATAGTTTAAAAACTGGCGGTAGCCCGGATATCAATGACACTCAAACGTCCAACGCCTCAATCTGTCTCGTGACCATGAAACGTTGGGAATTAAAGCTAAAAATAAAATCACAAATCCTTAAACATAGTTTTATTTGTTAGAGGCATTTCTTTTCAGAAGGTTTATATTGTTTTATTTCAAAAATATGATAAACTTCTCATACCCTTTTTGTAAAATTACAAATAATTGAGGTAAAATTTTTTAGTCTGGTAACTCGATATACGCATCAGTGGTGGTAAACTATTCACTTTTGTAGTGTACCGTAGTTTTGCCAAATGCTAAGTCGGTGTTGATCCGAATTAGACTCGCGTGTGTTCAGTGCGTCTAGTGCCGAAGTGTTTAAAATCATTTCGTTACTATCGCGGCAGGTGCATATGTTTTATTGTAAAATTTCTAAAAAATGTGATTACTGTTGTTAAACAAGCTATGGCGCGAGAATGCATCTATTAGAATTATTAAACAGTGAATGACTATAAAAGTTGCGAATGAATTTTTCAAGATGCATTGCGTTCTGTTATAAATTATCGGAATATAAATGTTTATTGTGCTATTAAAGTGTTAGTGGCTGAGTGAAGATGAAAACCCGCCTTTGTTTCGTCGATGTAAGTAATGATTTATAAGATAGGTACCTAGTTATAAAATATATAATTTTATTCGTAATGCAGGCACTTTTTATAAGTTTAGATTCATGTCTGAGATTTATTGTATTTAATTTTCCTCTTGGCCAATTATTTACGAAACGCTGCTTTCTTCTAGAAAGTTTGTGTTTTTCTCTTTAACTCGTACAAAGAAACTGGCGCGGGCCCAGGGAGTCACCTCGCCTGTATATTTAAAATACACAACAATAAATTATTGTCACCGATAGGTAGGTATTCTTCAGTATCAAATCTGTTTATCGTATAAATCAGTGGTATGCTATAAAGATTTTAGCGTTGATGTTAGCGTTTATTAGTTTTATTGTAGTTATAGACTTAAATTAAGTACATTGTGCAATGCGCTTTACAGTTATTTAAAGAAGTACGTTTAATTGAAAATGCAATATGAACTGAAAATTGAAAATGCAAAATGTATATGAACTAAGTAACGAAATGTAATCGAGTAGGCACTGGTCAAACTTCCCGTGCGTTTTACTTTCTAGCCATATTCCTGGTTGAGCCAGCTAGTCAATTACGTGTACTCTACGGCGGCTTAGAAATGCGATCTTTAGTACATCGTGCGCGAGTGAAACGCGTTAATGTAACTTGTTTGAGTTAGAACGGTCCACTATTTAAAAGATGTAGACACTTTGGATGTTGCGTATTCCAGTTTATTCCTTGATAAATATATACCCTTTTTTTTAGCCGACTACAAAAAAGGAGGAGGTTTCTCAAATCGACCGTATATACTTTTATATTTTTATGTGTGTTCGTGGATAACTTTCTCGTTTATTAACCGATATTATGGATATGAACAAACATATCCAAGTTTTAAATGCTAAATATGATTAGATGCATGTCTCGCACCAATTAACATTCATGGCTCGTTTTGACTGGTTGGTCGATAATCCTCTTGCCTTTTAACTAATAGCGGGCGAGAAGTATACACGACTATTAGTCCGTAGTACCTTAGCCATAAGTTAGTTTTAAAATTCCATCCATTCTTAGTGCTTATATTTATATGCGGTACTAGCTGCTGCCCGCAGAATAGTCTTAGAATAGGCCGAAGGCGTAACATTCACACAGAAAGACAGATATACAAAAAATATACAAATCAAAAAAATAAAAAAAATCCATTCAGTAGTATTTGCGTGAAAAAGTAACAAACATCAATCCCTACATACAAACTTTCGCGTTTATAATATTTTTAATGATTAGGTATAAGGTATACACAATCGAATCTTGTTGGTTTAGACTTTGTTAGTCTTAGGGTTCTGGTAAGAGATAAGATGGAAGTCGTCCAATATATACCATATCGTGCCGATTGAGTGTATATAAAATTGAGGAAATTGTACACGCCATCAGAGGGTATGTGATACGTAAGCATACCTTCTTTCAAAACTCAGAATAACTGACTACACAGCCCCGTACCTCAGCTACTGCTGGTGATGATTTTGTTTTGTATAAAACAATGTTTTCTAAAGTCTGTTGAAGAAGGGTTAATGCATTGCTGTTCGCCAGTATTCTGTATGGCCTCGGAGTACCAGAGACGTTTGGAGTATCCTCAGATGAGAGCGATAGCAACAGCTGTTACCCTTTACCTTTCAACTTTAATATTCTGTAATACCTCAATTATTTAAAACGGCAGTCGATCTTTACTTCGCCTTTATAATAAAAACTTGTCTAAAGGCGTGACCACACGCGCGCCGGACGAGTCGCTTACGTGATGCGCTTGTGTAAGCAGCCTAATGTTTATTCGCGTATTATATTTTAAAGTAAATACATCATAAACGTAAGCAGACGGCGCACCGTGACAAGGTGTGACGACATTGCGTTAAAAATATCTCTAGGATTACTTGTGTGTGATAAGGCATCATTAATACAGTTGGTAACATTTAATGCACTGTGATTCCATGAACAACGAATGGCTTCAAAGGGTAATAATGCAGGTAGTGTGGAAAAGGTAGATTTTGACCTTTTTATTGTCACAATCTTGATACACGCTGTGTTCCTAAAGTTTTGTAATGAGTTACCCTATTTGTGTTGGCCGTGGGTTAGTAGTTTTCTCGAATTTAGTAGACATTTTATTTATATATATTTAGTTAAGACCTGGCAATAACCAATGAACACACAAATTTACGAATCCAAGTTTGGATTCTCGGAAGCGCAGCGGCGATGTGGAGGTGTTTCATGTTATTACTCATTTACCTCGTATCGGTGAAGGAAAACACCTTGAGGAAACTAAAAACGAAAATTGAGTTTTGCACGCGCCCACTTAACCGGAGGGTTCTGCTTCGAAATTTGATTTGTATTTTGTAAAGGCGTCAACGTTTACGGTGGAATTATACTTATCTATATATCTTTATTTTAATACGTGAAGCAAAACTATTTACCTCTTTTTACCAAAATTGCGCAGACGGAGGAGTATGAAATTTCCCACAATGAGGCCCGGTTTTTTTGAAACACTGATCATAATAGAAATTAACTAATCAGCTATCAAATGGCTTATCAAATGATTGTAAAAGGATGGTTAACCACAATGAATTGATCAGAATGATCAATTCAAAGAGTTTACCATCCTTTTGGCAACTCAAATGACATATGACTAGCCATTTGACAGCTGATTAGTTAATTTCTATGATGATCAGTGTTTCAGCAACCGGGAATTATAGTTTATATAGAGGAGTGCAGAATGCTTATTTTTTTTTAATTGTGCATAAAAAATACAATAACTCAATAAAAAAAGCATTACACATACTACAATGTATTTAATTATAGTCGAATTTCGACCGCTAGGCGGCTACTAGTTAATTTTAAACCACGAGTGTCGAGGGATAGGCCTGCTACGAATGTAGGACAGTAAACTGTAACAGTGGTAACTAGCTCTATGGAGCAAAATACTGGGATTCGAAGCCATAACATTAATCGCGGGTCAACATAACAGCTATAAATTAGAGACCCAGAGGCGACGCAGTTAAAAAGCAATCAAAATCGACAGGGAGTCGTTTTCTAAATAACTCAACTATTCACATTAAAAAGTTGTTAAGTTAGCTTTAAATAATATCACAAGAAAACGCCTTATTGTTGGTCAAGCGTCTTAACGATTCCGTGTGATGCCCGCTGTTATTGGATACGGGTTTTGTTTGTTGGCAACATTGGGCGAATTATTTCATGATAATTAAGAAAATTTAAAAATTGGAAGTCCCCTAGTGCTAAGTACTTAATTCGCTGTATTATGAACATTAATCCAAATATTTTTAATCCTGATAAGCAGCTGTATTATCAATGCAAAATTCACTGTTAAATTGTTATCAGTAGTCTGACATACAGTGTAATATCGTTGGGGCATCTATTTCTGTGACCCACAGATAGTTGTTTCGCATCTGGTTGTTTGCCCCCGAGAAATTTGTTTGTAAAACGTCCATACAACACTGGATAATGTTACCCTAATATAAGGGCAAAGTTTTTTTCTTTAAAAAAAAGAAACAAGGAGATTTGTATGCGGAAATGAGAACTTCATTACCGTTTTGCATGAAACTGTTCTACTTTTTCATGTTTAAGGAGAGGAGAAATTTAAAACTATCCTTCGACAGACTGTGCTGCGTCGGAGGTAGAAATAAACCTCTCTACATAGTGGTCCCTTTGTTATACGTATAGCCAAACGACTGGTATGTAGATGCAGTTTCAGTTTGGACAGTGGTAGGGCCACGCATCAGTTCGCTGATGCACGAACGGGCAGCAGGTCCGTCTGGGCTTCCCCACCACTTGGTCGTGGTACTTCTACCACGACCTCGCAGAAGGCAGGCGTGAAGTAGAAGTGCCTTTGTAACCCTATGGTTGTAATAGGAAATAATGTCACGCATCGATTCATATTTTGACATCGCACCAAATATCATTTGAAGCTTTAAATAAAGTTCTTATTATATTAATAAATATCTTTCTTTAATAAATATAAATTTTAAACCAAAGTGATGTAAAGCATCATTTTTTTCCAATTAAAAATAGCCTATGTCCTTTCTCAGGCTCTAGACTATCTATGTACCAAATTTCATTTAAATCGGTTTTGTAGTTTTGGCGTGTAAGCGAGACAGACAGAGTTACTTTTCCATTTATAATATTAAGTATGGAAGTATGGATTGTGTATGTGACGAAGAATACTTTATGGATCTGGGAACACTGACATGCCAAGGAATTATGTCTCGCTTGAGAGAACAAAATGACACGACCCAATAACGTACAATATTAATTTATATTTATATGTCTTGTCGCAATTTTAAGGACTGCCATTTGGCATCAAGTGTTGTCCTACGGTCGTGGGATGGAATCTCAGTGCACTTCGCAATGGTATATTTCCCATTTTTTGATTTCTTTTATGCCTTTGTTGTCCGATGAGCGGCGATAGGCTTATCACCTGTCTCGTTTAGGTACTAAACAAGCTCGGCTGAAATTAACAGCATAAGCTGTCTCTCGCCACTGAATCGGGGTTATAAAGTTGTTCATTTTGAGCTTTACCACTCGGCGTCAAAGGAAAATATGCTGATGAAACCCGAGCAACTACGAAGTTATCATCAGCATGTTTAAAACGATATTCTTAACATGGAGTCTCCAAATCCGCAGTTGTGTCGCGTCTCGGACTTTTCCTTAATAGCGGCCTCAGTCCAGCTGTGGGATATATATAGGCTGTTACTTTACTCTATTTAAAATCGGCCGGTACTATATCTTAAGCCGGATTACTGAAACAAGTGACGAATAGGAGCGAATATAAATAAACATAGTCTTGCAACCTTGTCCTTCGTGAATGCGGCAAACGACTTTAACATAAAACCCGCGTATACATTAATTTATAAATACAATGCGTTTTCGTAAATAAACAGTAAACCACCAGCTCTTCAAATTATGAACCTGTTAGGTTAATAAGATTACTTTAACTTCTGATAGATTCAAGCGACCATATCGCTTGGTGCGAA